TACACACAAAACATGAAGTTGATGTATGTATTTTCACTATATAATCTATAGAGCCCCGCCCTAACACCAAAACCCCTGACCCTGGGGCCATAAAATTCACAATTTTGGTAGAGGCACTATTGCTCATCATAACTTTGTGCTTAGTTAGTTCATTTAATACCCAGGAGCAGAGAAGATGATTTTTAAAGAATTCATGTATTTTCACTATATAATCAATAGAGCCCCGCCCTATCACCAGAACCCCTGACCCTGGGGCCATAAAATGGACAATTTTGGTAGAGGCACTCTTGCTCATCATAACTATGTACTTAGTTGGTTTATTTGATACCCAGGAGCAGAGAAGAAGATTTTCAAAGAAATAATGCATTTTCACTATATACTTATTTAGCCCCGCCCTAGCACTAGAACCCCTGACCCCAGGGCCATGAATTTCACAATTTTGGTAGAGGACTCAAATGCTGATTACAATCATGAAAACAGTTTGCCTGCTTGATGTCCAGGAGTAAAGAAGAAGATTTTTAAAGATTTCATTAATTTTAGTGGTATTTGCCCCACCCCACAGGCCCCAGGGGGGCAGGGACCATGAAATTTACAATTTTTATTCACCCATAGATGCTATATGCCAAAATTGGTTGAAATTGCTTCAGTGGTTTCAGAGAAGAAGCTGAAAATGTTCAAATGTCAACGCACGACAAACGACGCACGAAAAACAACGAACGACGACGGACGGAAACGGATAGCAATGGGTCACCTGAGTTTACTCAGGTGACCTAAACATGGTCCTATGGCATTTACTTTTTACTCCTTTTTTGTCCGAAAAACATCTCTCAGTTATTTTCAATAAAAAACAAATTAGCAGTTTCACATGAGAAGGTTAAAATTGAAAAATGCAAGTTTTAGCAATATATTAAGAATACATGTATTGAATTTCAAATCTAAACAAAAATGAAGTCAAAAATGAATTAAAAGTAAAAAAGTAAATTTCCGGCGATTCCCTATGGAATTATATCTTAAAAAACTATTACTGTAACAAGTTATATAGATATAATTGACTTGATAATTTTGAAAGAACAAATGGTAGAACAGTCAAGATTGGCTTTGATTTTTTATGGTTATGTTAATGAGAGAATTTTTTTTAAAAAGTTCACTAATTGAAATTTATTGTTAAAATACTTTGATTTACTACAGTAAAAATTCTACCATAGATAATTATCTTAAATATCATACTATCGTGTACTTTATGTTTTTTTATCGCTAAGTAGATCAAACAATTCCTTGTTCGAACGCAATATGTTAAACTTTTAATCTAGAACATGTACATATTAACAGTCTATTGTCGGACGGAAAAAAATATAGTTAATCATTGAAACGGTAGAGTAAATAATCATGTTATCAAATCTGTCAGACAAAACGATGGGAATGTTTTATTTGGTTTATAACATTTCTCTCAGAGCTTCTGTAAGGAAAGTATTATTTCAACTTAATTGTAGATTTCATGGTGATGTCAATGAGAATTAAAAGAAAGTTTACAATTTGAACTTCATAGTTAGAATACTCTGATTTACTACAGTAAAAATTCTACCATCTAAGTAAACTATAGATAACTATCTTAAATAGTATACTATTGTCTTCTATTAAACTAGTGTTTTTCACACGTTTATGTTCTTTTCCCGCTAAGTTAGATTAAACCACGCCTTGTGCAAATGCAATACTTTAACCTTTTATTCTAGTACATGTATATATGTACAGTTTATTGTTGGAAGAAAACAATTATAGTTAAATATTGCAACGGTAGAGTAAACAATCATGTTATCAAATCTGTCTGACAAAACGATGAGAATGTTTTATTTGGTTTATAACATTTCTCTCAGAGCGCTTGGCTCTAAGGAAAAGAATGTGGAAAAGAAAGCAAAATTATACTAAATAACTTTAGAATTAACTAAATTAGCTAAAATTCGCAAACAGTTGGAGTGAAAGTGACTAGACGAACGTCTTTTTCAACAACATAAAAATGGAATACCACAGCTGCTCAGTTGTAATTTTTTTAATTCTATTTAATCTTTGCGTGTTCCAAAATATCATAAAACTATTCCAATTTCAATTTTTCTACAGCGTGCATCACATGTATGGTAATCATGTTCATCCATCCAACAAATAATACATTCCATATCTTTCTAATTTTTTGTACATACAAAATTCAGTGTTGTTTTTTTTTTTTAAAGTAAAATTGTTACTATCTCGCATTATAACACAGGAAAATCAACTTAGATTGATATGTGATCAAAATACTTACTCTTTTCAATCTTTCCGTTAGCTATAACCATAAAAAGAAAGATATAAGCAACAAATGGCAGAAATAAATTCAAAAAAAATTATTGGACATAGAAAAGGAGTTTATATCATTAAAAATACCTAGTTCCTATATAATTAGAAGTAAAAATTCAAAGCAAAAAAAAAATCAAATAGAGCTTCTGTAAGGAAAAATATTATATCAAATAAATTGTGTAAAATCTTGTTTATCCTCACACACAGACCATCTATTGTATATCGTCAGCTTTAGCAACCCACATCCTACCACCAACCCATCCTCTTCCAATACAATCCAAAGAAGTAAAGAGAAGAAATAATTTAATGCTCTGTCAAATCTAGTTGTTTGTAAGACGGTTTATTCTCACGCAGAAACCGGACAGTGTATATCGTCAGGATTAACAATCCACACCAACTACCCCCTTGTTTTGAATATGAATGCTTAACACTTTCAGACATCACAAAGACGTGAATAACTAAACAACCTAGTATACATTGGTGAATCCTCATAATTTTCAGTTTTGAAAAAAAATGTACATCATCGCACCGATGTTTATTTTTGCCGAAATCTACAAAAGATTTTGTCACAATAATACGCTGATAATGAAATAATTAATTGATCGTGTTTGTAGCATGATTGATAAAAAGTGGTCTAAAGGCATTTAAATTCTTCTTCTCCCTTTTTTGTCCGACAAACATCTCTCAGTTATTTTTAATAAATAACAGATAAGGAATTTCACATGAGAATGATAGAATTGAAAAATGCAACTTTTAGCAATATATTAAGCTTATTGAATTTCAAATCTAAACAAAAATGAAGTCCAGAATGAACGAAAAGTAAAATATTGAATTTCCGACGATTCCCTATAGATTTATATTGACTTGATAATTTTCAAAGAAAAAATGGTAGATAAGTCAAGAATGGCTTTGATTTTCATGGGTTTGTTAAAGAGAGGATTTTTTTAAAGTTCACAATTTGAAGTTTATAGTTAGAATATTTTGATTTATTATAATAAACATTCTATCCCTTAAGTAAACTATAGCTAACTATCTTAAATATTATACCATTGTCTTCTATTTTACTAGTGTGTTTTACACGTATATATTTTTTTTTGCTAAGGTAGATCAAACCACGCCTTGTTCAAGCGCAATATTTTAACCTTTTATTCCAGTACATGTACATATGTACAGTCTATTGTCGGAAGAAAAATTATAGTTAAATATTGCCATGGTAGAGTAACCAAGCATGATATCGAATCTTTCAGACAAAACAATTGGAATTTAAAGTTTCTGTTTGGTTTATAACACTTGGTTTATAACATTTTTCTCAGAGCGCTTGGATATAAAGAAAAGAATTTGGAAAAGAAAGCAATATTATACTAAATGACTTAGAATTAACCAAATTAGCCAAAATTCTCAAATAGTTGGACTGAAATTGACAAGACGAACTCCTTTTCAACGACATATAATTGAAAAAACACCTTATTTTACAGCTGCTCAGTTGCTATTTGTTATTCTATTTAATCCTTGCGTGTTCCAAAATTTCATAAAACTACTACAATTTCAATTTTTCTACGGCGTCTATCACATGTTTAAGAAATGAAACCGAGGAGGTTATCCTGCATCATTCACGAAAACAAGGACTTTATTTCTTTTCTACCATGTCTACAAAAAGTGCTAAAATAGGGGCTGATTGTTTCCTCTATAGAGAAACGAATTAGGTCACAATGTCTCGATAACGCTGTTCCATTTAACACCAGAGTGGAAATTTGTTTGCTTACCTGTGTATAGAATGCATACGATTTGAGCTTTTGTTGCATTTAAAATAGCCTTTTTTATTTTAAAATTACATATTTCTTTTTTACTGCTCTATTTGGACTAAAATCAGATTGTTTAAATTTAAGTGTGTAGGGAGACCCGTGGAATAGCCCCGCTTAGCTATGAAAAAAGACATTCATCAGCAACCTTGTGTAATCTACAGTGTTTATACTGCAAAAGGCGACACATCGAAGTGGTCTAAACAAGCATGTATTCTAATGCAATTGTTTTGTAAAACACGATTTGATTGGCTAATGGAATGATGTTTGAAGCAGTAAAACGAGCATTAACGCGAGTAAAAGCTTTTCATTGTGACGTCATAATAGAGAGACGCAAAAACACAATGCCCTGTGACGTATTTTATGTAAAGAAAATCAACAAAATAAGACGTAAACAACAAACAAAATGCATAGAATGCATTAGAATGGGAATAACTAATCTTCTAATTTGGTATTTGCGACCGTTAATGCTGATTTATCGGTCGCAAACATCCGTTTTACTCAGTAAAACTCAGTTTGCGAACGTTATATCAGCATTTACGGTCGCAAATACCAAATTAAAAGATAGTTATTCCCTAATTTCATTCTATAGCCAAACATGCATTTGAATTGCTTAGGTTTGATACGTGTTTCTAATTTTTTGATGATAATCGTGATTTATTGGAGAATAATGTCAGCGGTACTTCTTTATGTCGGCAATAATCATGGTAGAATAGTAATCATGCCCATCCATCAAATAAATAACATATTCTATATCTTTCTAAATTTTTGTACATGCAACATTCAGTGATATTTTCAAAAAAAATAATATTGTTGCTTTCTCGCATTATTTTAGAGGAGAACCAGCTAGGATTAATATGTGATCAAAATACTTACTCTTCTACCTTTTTCCCATAGTTCTTCCATTTCCTATAATTATAAAGAGAAAGATATAAACAAGAAATAAGTGTACAAAAAATACTGAGACATAAAAAAGAAGTTTATATCATTAAAAATACCTACATGTATTTCCTATGTAATAAGAAGTAAAAATACAAAACAATAAAATCAAATAGAGATTCTGTAAGGAAAGAATTTGATTGTATAAAATATTGTTTATTCTCACACACAGACCACCCAATGAATATCTTCAGCTTCAACAAACCACATCTTACCAGCACGCAACCCCCCCCCCCCAACCCTTTTGTAAAGCTCTATAATACTTTGTTGATTAATCTTTACAACTCTCAGAGATCAAAAAGACGTCAACTGCTTAATAGCCTTTGTAACCTAGTGTGCACATAGTATTGTAAAAAGTACATTATTGTACAGAGGTTTAATTATTCTAAACCTACGGGAAAATTCGTCACAGAAAGAATACTGATAATGAAAAACATACTTGTCAATAACCTCTGATGTTTCGGAGGATCATGTTTGCTCTGCTCAAATTTCGCATTGTTCTATGGACTTTGAGATTGAATACTGTTCGTTATCTCCATATCCTTCTTGTAATATTGTTTTCTCAGGACTATTCTTATGAAATACCAAATAAAATGTTTTGTTTGCTCAGGTGTTGTAGTGCATGTACACACAGTAAATGAAACTATCAAAATCGCGATTTCCTGTCACTTAACTTAATTTACAATATTTTTCTGAGCTACATTTAATAACATCGATTCACAAATATCATGCAACATTTTTAAAACGCTGTTTAACAATGCACATTATACATATATCTTTAGAAAAACATTCATCAACCCAATGAAATCCAATAAATAATATCCTCATTATCATTCTAGATAATTGTTCCTACAACATTCATTGTTGTTTTGAAAGAAAACATTTCAGTTATCTCTCATTATTAATTACTGAAATCGTGATTTCAAGTAAAATAAACATGTTTTTTTATAGTTTGATATCTCAGGCAGTGATCCTCATGAAATAAACACAATATGAAAAATATATGTTTAAATGTGAACAGATGACGCATATCATGACAGACGTCAGATTAAAACAGATAGCAGTAAGTAACCCATGTAGCTCAAATGATCCAAAAATAAAATAGATTTTAAGTATAAAAGAATACGCTTTGCATATTTGAATTTGAAATAAAAAGAACTCACCCATTCTTTACGTTCCTCTTCCTGTAATCATAAGAAGATAGTACTTAAATGAGTTGGAATGATAAATCTACTGGAGACTTTTTGTACAACAAGCAGTAAGTGTATATTGATATATTGATATTGTATAAGAAGTAAAAATACAAAACAATAAAATCAAATAGAGCTTCTGCAAGGAAAGTATTATACGAGGGCCGTTCAAAAATTACGCGGACTTGGTGCACAGAAAAAAAATTTGACGACATAATCGGGCAAAATGTCACACATAATATAAAAGAATCTTTACTTATATGGCCTTCAAAATTTCATATCAAAATGTTGTAAATTGGTATCAATTTTGAGTGATTTTTCAGGACATATCACTAAGTCATGGAGCAGCAAAATCTTCGACGTCACAGGCATTATAAAAAATATGTGATTGAGCTTTCATTTTCTGAACATTTTTCCAAGAGTTCCCGTACAGTTTGAGTTACTTTATCTACTCAACATCCAAATCCCATTTCTTGTCAAGCTTAAAATCTATTTAACAAGTAAACATTATTCTTTTTTTTGTTTTAAAACCAAAAACTGCAGGTATTTATGAGATATAGCGTGACATTGGTCACTCTCAATCACTTTCTTTAAAGTCCGGATAAAGTTTTCGTAGATAATCTTCTTCCCGTCCTCCCATATAGCCTTTTTACAGAGGTCTAACGGTCTAAAATTTCAATGAGTTATTTGTGAACAAGTGTCACCAATACCCTAGTTTACTACATGTTTAATTATGCATATTTTGGATCTATTTTGGCGATATCTCGAGCATTACACATAATTAAACAAAAGTGGTGCGCCGTCAATTCAGGAGACGTCATTTTCACAGTCGTTTTTACGGGGATCGCATAAGAGAAAAATCACCATATTTCTGTTACTACTTCAAATATCATGTCAGAAATCTAAATACATAATAATAAAACAGTTTAAAGATATATTTGAGAAAATTGTCGAAAAATATCGCGAATTATAGAAAATTAATGAGTTAAATTTTGGATTCCGCATGCTTTTGCTTCAATTTTATTTGTCTTGCTCCGTACCTCTCCATCAGCGATATCAACATAGCGATAATTTTAGTAGAATAATTCTAAAATACAGAAATTGTGCCCAAAATTTATCGAAATCTTTAGGATACACATTTCTGTGAAATTTCATAACTATATAACGTCTATAAGAGTAAATAATTGTACAGTCCGCGTAATTTTTGAACGGCCCTCGTATTAACTAAATTGTTTAGAATCTTGTTTATCCTCACACACAGACCACCCAGTAAATATCTTCAGCTTTAACAAACCACATCTTACCAGCACGCAACCCCCCTCCACAAACCCCATTGCAAAGCTCTATAATACTTTGTTGATTAATCTTTACAACTCTCAGAGATCAAGAAGACCTCAACTGCATAATAGCCTTTGTAACTAAGTGTGCACATAGTATTGTAAATTATTGTACAGAGGTTTAATTATTCTAAACCTACGAGAAAATTTGTCACAGAAAAAAAAACACTGATAATGGAAAACATTATTTTCAATAACCTCTGATATTCCGGAGACCCATGTTTGCTCTGCTCCAATTTCGCATTGTTTTATGGACTTTGAGATTGAATACTGTTCGTTATCTCCATATTCTTCTTGTAATATTGTTTTCTCAGAACTATTCTTATGAAATACCAAATAAATTGTTTTGTTTGCTCAGGTGTTGCATTGCATGTACACACAGTGAATGAAATTATCAAAATCGCGATTTCCTGACAAAGGACTTAAGTTACAATATTTTTCTGAGCTACATTTAATAACATCGATTCACAAATATCATGAAACATTTTAAAAACGCTTTTTAACAGTGTACTGTTACAACGCGAAATGTAATAACAACGCAAAATGTAATAAACCTGGATTATTACATTTTGCGTTATAACATTTTGCGTCGAAATAAACGCAGAATGTAATAACGTAAAATGTAACAACACATTTTGGAGAATTATAACATTTCGAGTTATTACATTTTGCGTCGAGATCAGCGCAAAATGTAATAACGCAAAATGTAATAACACGATTTTTGGATCATAACATTTTGCGTTGTTACATTTTGCGTCGAGATTAAGCAAAAGGCAGGAACGCAAAATTTAATAACACATTTTTTTCGTCGGCCAGATTGAGTACAATCTTCAATAGTGTAGTGGCCGATGAAAATAAAATAAAACAAAAGATAAAAAATAGATAAATTTCTTACAATTAATATTTTTTTTAATACATTGATTTAATTAGTTACATGTATTTTAAACTTTAAGGTACTTGGACACAGATTTGAAGTTAATATTTTTTGTATATTATCACAAATTATATATTTTGATAGCATTTCACACAAACAACAATTGAAAATCTTATTTCATTTAAGGTAAGTCGCTCCTGAAATTTGTTATATCAAGGATTTTTTGAGAAGTATATTTTGGATAAGTATTCAAAAAGTGTAACTCAAAATAGCCAAGAAAATAGGGGGTCAGTGTGCATCCTACTGATCTACGGTACATTTAAGTTGACCTTTTTGCACTTAAATTTCATCTCTTTGGTTACTTACTTTAACCCTTATTATATTTGATCAAATGTAAGCATGGCAATAAATATAATCTTATTTTATGTAAAATAGTTTGAATAATATTTATCATTAAACAAATCTTGCAAATGAATGCGCGTAATTTATTGTGTGACCTTTTTGCACTAAAAATTAACATTTTTGGGGTATTAAAAAACTTAATAGGCAATAAAAAATTTTCTTATATCAAACTTTTTACGACTTAAGTGCTGATCAGTCACAAGTGTCGAGTAGTTTAAAATAATGAAAGAAAAAGATGGGGTCAGTGATGATCATTTTGAAATATTTGTCAAAATATGTGATTTTCAGGCAAAAAATATTGTAAATTTGATCTTGACTTCTTTAATATATTTTCATTTTTTGGACAAGTTTGTTGAGGGAAGGTGTAAAACTTAGTCTAAAAATATAAATTAAGACCTATATTAAATATTTTTAGCAATATCAAAACGGAAAATATTCTCCGAGTAAAAGTATGTGAGGCTAAATTTCCATTACATTAAATTTTATAAATGTGCAGATTTGCCGAATTTTCTGCTAAATATCCTTCCACCAAAAGAAATAGTCCCTCATAAATCTTGCTTTTTTGTAGATTTTTGAGCAGTTTTTCATTGAATGTTAAAAAATTTACATTGTTGAATTTAAATATGTTATAAAAATTGATTTTTATTAAGTAGTTTTGAAGTAAAAGCTTCTGCGTGAAATTTTCTAAAAAGCTGACGAGTGACTTACCTTAAAAGATTTTAAACCTTCAAATTTTTTGGCGGGTTTGATTGACACATCCTTGCACTTTCACAAATTTTAACTTTATTCTTAATCCTTAGGAAAAGTGGCAATCTTGTTGTGTATTATTGAGAAATATTAAAACTTGAATCCAGAAAAATAATTCCATTCAGAGTAGAAATGTTAGAGAGCAAAGCTCCTTCTTGAGGCATTTAGATTGATTGACTGCTTGTTTAATTCCGTGATTTAATATTGTCAAGTTTATTTATTTTATTTTGTTGCGTATGAACAAATTAAAATTTATTTACTGTTTCGTTTTGTTTCCTGTGTTCGATGTACTTTTCGTAAGTTTCCTAAAGTATGCAGATTTTACATGCTGCTACTCAACTAAAAGCACCTAATTAATAAATATATTGAATAGATATTGAAAAGATAACCAAAGCTAACTTATAAGTTCAAATGTGTGTTTTTGCTTTAATTGTATTCCAAAATTTTAATTTTAATCACTTTTTCTTTTTTATTTGTTCCGTATTGACTTTATTAATTACATACCGGTATAACTTTTAATATTTCATCGATTTGTTTTAACAAGACGCATGAATTCAATGTATTACAGTGAAAGGCGTAATCATGATCAGTTTGATATGACCATTTTTCTTCCAGAATTTTAATGTAAAATAATGACACAATTCTATTGAAATCTCTAATGAGAAAATATACATGTACGGCAAATGAATGTAATTCTTTGATATGTGTCAATTTGAACAGAAGTACAGATTATTTAGATTTTTGCTAGGGAAGTAAAAAGTGCGTCTCCCTCTGATGATGACTACACAAAATCAAGTTTACCTGTACACAAATACAAAGTGTTCTCATATATTTTTCTGATATGTCCCTTTGAATTAATGCTAATAATGCATCAGGTAAATGATATCTTGGGGACTAGGAATATCTTAAACAATTATTGAAAATCTATTTTAAACTGCAGCAGAAACTTGCCTAAAGCGCAAAATGGGGTGGGGGGGGGGGGAGAAATGAAAAACAAGAAGTAAAACCAATATATTAAAGGCGATTATTTTGATAATTCTCATATTGTTTTCGGCCTCAAGAAAAAAGAAAAAACGGCAAGGGGACAGCCGTCTTTGAGTTAAAAAAAATTTAAACAAAATACATGTATTATATAATAGCAAATTACTATATTTCTTTTTTTTTTTTAAAAAATGGGTGAAACTCGATCCATCCCCACCCCAACCCCATCCGTTAGAGTACAAGTACGTACGTGCTACGAAATATGCGATTTTTTAAATAAATCGACCATTTCCCTATTTACTCGTGTGAGTTCAATTTACATTAAGGAATATGAAATCATTATATAGACAAATACAATTTGAGAGAGAGAGAGAGAGAGAGAGAGAGAGAGAGAGAGAGAGAGAGAGAGAGAGAGAGAGTAAAAACACCGTTACTAAATTTTGAATTGTTTTGAATACATTATTATAATGCTTTAAACTCATTGATTGACTTTTTTTAAAGTAATTCTCAAGTGTTGGATTCCTCAGTTAAATAGGTATAGCATATAGTGATTGAGCATTTTCTTTTGGGGGGGGTGTATTTTCCTTTTATTTTGGTGGAATGTTAAATCTAAATTTATTGAATAACTGTTCATGTTTTATTCTAGCTGCAATAATGTAGCCCTCTCCGATTTTTTTATCTGATATTTTTTGGAGAGGGTCCTCGAAGGG